CCAGCATGTGGTGCCCTGGTTCGGGCCCCAAAGACTCTTGAATGAACAGCAAAAACAACCTAACCAGCTGCAATTGCACGGGACTAAAATGAAACAGCTCCCACTGAAGTAACACACATGAGTCACTGAAATCTTCATAACTCATCTGATCTATAAGAGATAGAAATAACTCTCTCTTCTTTCACAGCAACCACTGCAAAGTAGATAACACAGGGATGAAGGAATGTGCAACATCCACCCTGTAGGAAACAGATGGGTAACCATACTACACAACAGCTGCAATCTCTTAATTTCGAGGGAAATATAAGTAGGAGCAAATTGCAGTCATCTCCACTTCAGTGTGCATGGGCTTTTGTTGGTTTTGTTTGTATGTTCATTTTAAATTATCCAACCATAGAACACTTACACAGCAAGCTGCTGAAGAGCCTCCAGGCCCTGCTGAGCCCTCCATCTTCGAGCAATAAATGCAGGCACTGGATCTTTGCCCTTCAGGCACAAACTGCAGGCTGGGAAATGAATCAATCCAGTAGCCATACTTCTCAATATAGGTGCTTTTACCTAGTGTTTGTGTGGACACAAAGAAGAGAGGCAGTAATTTAGCTATTTCAAACAGCACTAAAGAGATCAGAATTTCATCCTTCTGTGATTTACAGGACATTTGGGATGGGAAAAGAAGGCGGCATACGTATGCTAATGATGTCAGCTGGTTAGATGGTACTTCTCAAGATGTGGAGCATACCAGACTAGCAGCAGATGCACAGATTTGTCTTCCGGCTGTTTTCCAGTGCTAAACTTATACTTAAAATCGAAGGGTCTAACGCTTTGTTACATAAAGAAGTTAGTGTGCAGTAACTGTGAATGTGCAGCAATGTGAACTTGTAGCACATTACCCCATGTAACTCCCTTCTATTTCTAGTGCTCCAGAAATTAAGTAACATATTCCACTTACAGAGTAAAGTTACATTATTTTATGCTGTAACAATTTTAGCATTTGTTAAAAATATCTCAATGGGAGCTAGCACACAAAAAATGATCACATTAAAAAATCTACACCCTTCCATTTAAGCACTAATTTCCCTGGGTAGATATGCCTTAAATCACTAAATTTACGGCTGCCAATAAATCTTTGCAATCGTGACTCAAGCGTAAGTGATGTAGCTATATTGGCTTGAGCTTCTGTAAAGACTGAAATCAGAACTGAATCATGAATCGCCCCTTTGATTTCAGTAGGAGCTAACTCAGATGCATATAGGGTAGTGGTGACTCTTCAAGTGCACCAACTCACCGGAGTCTAAGACAGTATTAGTTGATGAAGATATAGGCACCCTACCATGAGTAGCTGCTTGTTCTGCATGAGATTGCATTTTGTTTCATTTCTCTTCAAAGGGTGTCCAACTTTCGAGAATTTGGAATACCCCATCAAATCCTATTACAATCTCTGCCCATCCCATTTTGTGAAGCTATAGATTAAGGTTGAGGTGTTTTGAATTGCAAATTGTGCACTTGCTGATTCATTTTAAAACATGATTTATACAAGCTGGAGTCTACCACCATACCCATCCACACCATTACACCTATGAGATGACAACTTCAGTGACAGTATGCCTGCTTACTTTGTCTGGCCTGAACTGTTATCACAGCCATACTGTAGCAAGGGTCTCAGAAGACAGGTAGTGTTCCCAGCTTCATGTGCATGTCTCTCCACAGAGAGGCAGACAAATACGTGGGTTTCTTCACGCACATATAAGAAAGAGTCTGAGATAATGGAGTAAGAGACATCCAAAAACATTCTTCAAAAACACATTCCTTGACTCCAGTGTTGGAAAGCCGTTCAGGGATTTTCTCCTTGCTGTACAGCAATGGAGTCTGAGTTCAGAATATCTGCCCTTGCAGCCCCAGTCAAAAGCATAGCTTCAGGAGGACTCTTTGTTCGAAATCCAGTTCATTGTGCAGTTGTACCAAGCCTGTTTTCCTTTGGCACTCTACCTATATGCAGCCTGTCCAGATGTCAATCATTGCTGTCTAAAGGTGCAACTGCAACTCCCACAGACATGCCCTGGCTGGCTTTAAACCAGCTAGGGGGCAATACTGATAGCAGAGGAGCAACTGAAGTAGGGAGCTAAGCATGGGCTATCTAGATAAGGGCTTAGCTAGGAAGTTAAACTGTGCTAACCCAATATGAAGAATCAGGATGGATTTGCAGTCTTTATAGGCTGCTTAGCTGTTGCTACCTATTTCATTTTAGTTCAAGTATGCAATGTTGATCTGTAGTGTAAATATATCCCCAGGTAAGTGAGGAGGCACCATGTGAAATAACACATTTTAACAGCTCTGCTTGGACAACAGCCCAACAATTGTCCAGCTATTTTATTAGATCTAAATAATATATACAAGCTATACTTAAGAGCATTTGGAGACAGTCTATTAAAACTACTGACACACAATTTAGGCAATTACTCAGAACGTGAAACTGGGTATTTCTAGGCTCCTGTTACTGAGTCACCCTAGGCCAGCAATCATGGTTACTCCCTCTGTTGTCTTGTTTTATTTAAAACTGCTTCCTTTGCTTTGTGTTTTGCTGTATTAAGGGAGCAGCTCAGGACTGAGACAGAGTTTCTATCCAGAAACTGTGCATACACAGAAAAATACAAGGTGCACATGTGAGCTGTCTTTGGCCAACACCTACCACTTTATCACCAAGTTGAGTGTGGACATTGACTTTGAATGGTCCTTCTCACTTGACAGTATGTACAGAGGGTCTGAAAGGTAAGTGAACAAATGGAAGTAGTTATATATTTGAAGAATCAGCACAAATCGTCAGGCTATGCTTCCCTCTTTCGAAGTCTGTCCATAGGAGAGTATAAAACAAACCAGGAAAGAAAAAACTGACATACATATCTCTATATCAAAAAAAATTCCACCCTCACACAAATGAGGCTCAGAGCTGAAGTACTAGTGTTCAGTGGAACACGCACGTGAAAAATCTACTAGAAAAATCTACCGTCTTTGGAAGCCCTGCCAACCTAAATCGAAAACGTGAAGACATGAAGCATTAAAAGGTGCAATGGTAATCAATGGAAGTACCATACTCTATATGATGTTCCCCTCCGGGACACAAAGTTGGCTTTGCTCCAAGATCGCCCCAAGCCTCTCCCGGTAACTTCGCTACTACTGCCGCCAGCCCTACCCCCTTCCCGCTCCCGGAGTGGCACCCACCCGCCCGGCCCCAGCCCTGCCCTCCCTGCCGAACTCAGCGACAGCCCCTCGGCCTCTCCGGCATGGGAGGCCCGGGCAGAGGCGGGAGGTCCGCCGGGCAGCACAACCGCTTCCCGGCCCGCGCCGCCCAGCCCCGGCCCCGCCTGACGCTGCCCCGCTCCCGCGGAGGGTGTCGGGCGTGGCCGCGCCGCTCCCGGTACCGTGGCGGCAGCCGGAGGTCCGGCCGGGAGCCCGTCCCCGCGGAACGGGGCTCGCACGGCTGCCGTTCCCATGGCCACGGCCGGCAGGCGGGGCCGGGAATGTCCCGCCCCTGCGGGACGTTACTGCGGGAGGGCCGCTCCCGGTCCCCGTGGGCCGTGGTGGTGACTCTCTGAGAGGGTGGCCTCGCCCCTCGGGGCTTTCCCCCTCCGCGCTGCTGCTCCCGCTCCCTCCCTCGCTCCCTGCCCCTCCAGCTCCCCGTGCCGTGGGCTGCCGTTCCTTCTTCCCGCTGAGCCCTCCCGCCTCCATCTTGTGCCGCCGCCGGGGGAGCGGCGCTGGCGCGGGGATTGGGCTGCATATTCAGGAGGATAGGGCGCGTTCGAGGGGGGCGGGGAAAGGAAGGACATACATATCTTAGCTTTTAACAGCTGCTGCTGAAGTTGTTTTATGTGATGGTCCCCCGTCTCCCTGGACTCTCGCTTAGTGCTTAAGAAATCTGGTTTAGCAGTTATAGTTAGGGACGGGATTCAAGCCTGGGTATTCTTATTCCTGGCTTTGCTTGTAATCACTTAGGATTTCTGCAGCCATAAAGTGGTGAAAGCCAGTCCAGAGAAGGGCAACGAAGCTGGTGAAGGGTCTGGAGCACAAATCGGCTGAGGGAGCTGAAGTTGTTTAGCCTGGGGAAAAGGAGGCTCAGGGGAGACCTTAGCACTGTCCACTACCTGGAAGGAGGTTGTAGCCAAGTGGGAGTCGGTTTCTTCTCCCAGGCAACTAGCGTCAGGATGAGAGGACATAGTCTTAAGATGCACCAGGGGAGGTTTGGGTTGGATATTAGGAGGAATTTCTTCACAGAAAGGGTAATTAAACATTGGAATGGACTGCCCAGGGACGTGGTGGAGTTGCCGTCCCTGGAGGTGTAAAAGAAAAGACTGGACATAGCACTCAGTGCCCTGGTCTAGTTGAGGTGGTGGTGTCCGGTCATGGGTTGGACTCAATGACCTCCAACGTCTTTTATAACCTAATTGATTCTGTGATTTGGTGAAAATAGGCTTGGTATTTACTGCCCAGAGGGGCTGCATGTATTTTTGCATCTGTAAAGCATCTGGAGAGGCCTGCACAAAGCATTACAAATAAACGTCGCCTTTTGCAAAACACTGTTGTTTTCATAAGGAGGAGGCCATTCCCTTCTATGAGAAACAAAGTTGGAAGCTTCTTCATGCTGCATGTTAAAAACAAAAAGGGCTAATGCTTTTGTGAACGTAACGAGATTTGCAGGAGAATGCTGCCTTGGAATAGGGCATAAAAAGCAGTGAAACTGTAAATGGGTCCTGTCCTCTGCCTATAATCTTGAAGCAAGTCCCCTATGTTAGTTATGTATAAAACTGTATATCAAAGGGTTATTCACAGCTTGCCATATCTGACATAGAATTTTGGCCCCTCAGTATCTCATCACAGGAGAGCAATGTTAGGACTGTGGTTCCAAATTCCTTGGCTCTGGGAATTTACTTGAAGACAATTCAACTTTGAATGCTAGTTTACTTTCTTAAAGGCCCATCACTTTCTGGAAGCAATAACTTTCTTAAGTTGTGTGGGTCTGAACTAAGAAATGCTGTTGCAACTTGAGGCTTTCTGACAGACATATGTAGGATGCGACATCCTGCGATGCATTGATCCATGCCCTGAAGATATCCAGCAGGTTGTAAAGGCCCTCATTTTACTAAAGAGCTTTACAGTGTGACACCTTATTGTAATTATTGACACAGGCAGCAAAAGTCACCTTTTAATAGTTGCCCACCATTTCTCATGATCAAGTTCAATTTTCGTTTCTTGTATCTCATTTCATTAAAACTCCATGACTCCGTGCTGAAATTTTTCCATTCTGAACATCTGCCTTGAGGTAATGAGGTGTGTAAACTGTACTTTGGCCAAAAAATTATTCTTTGTTGGCTCCACCCTCTCACATTTTTCCACTTTAAGGTTTTCAGAGATGACTGGATACAGGTGGCCTGGACTTCTTTTTTTTTTCTGATGGGGAAAGGAACCAGATGGAAACCAAGTTGAGAAGGAACAATGGAACAATTAAATGCGTTCTTGAGAGTACTACAAAATGCCAGGGGGTAGCCTAACAGATAAGTGCTCTCTGGAGTTGTGGAAAACTAAAAAGCTGCATTCCTACTATTTAACTGCATTAAATTGGGTTAAACGTAAGATCTTGCTCCCTTTTTCCTTGTTCACTGTCAGCTGCCTGGCCCCGCTGCTTCTGATCTGTCAGTGTTGGCAGCTGAAAGACTATGTAGCGAACCAATTCAGGAGACTGATGTGCCTGAAAACTAATCTGTCAGAATATAAAAGTTTTCAGGTCACTGCATAGCTGCCTGAAGACTAGTACTCACCAGGAGGTGACAGGTATATGTGGCTGGCTGAGCCAAAAAGCTCAAGGTTCAGGTTCATGGAACTTGCTTAGTGTGTGTGCATGTAAAATATTGGCTAATTTTTAACTAGTATTTCCAAGAAATCTCTGTGAACTACAGGTGTGGAGAGTGGACAGCCTTACAAGTGTTGAAAGTTGTGTTGATTGTTACTATGTCAAATGTTCTTTGCCTGAAATCTTCATATTCCTGTGGACCTGAAGCTGTGTCAAACCTGGCCAGGGCCCCTGGCACACTGGTGTGTGCTGTGGAATACACTGCCATGGCAAAGTGGTGAGGTTTGGTCTGAATCATTATTTATTTATTTATTTATTTTTAATGTAGATCAGCCATGTCCAAAGGAAACGACCACAAAACACAAAAGACTGTGAGAATGTTTGATCCCAGGCATTAAACTTTGGCAACGTAGTCCCTGACCAGCACGTTGGAAAAGGGGCTCAAAGCTTATCTGGCAAGTTAATCTGTCTGTGTCAGGGACATATCCTGTTGCTCTGGTGAAAGTGAGCTGAAGGCAACTAAACTGTAAGCAATCAAAAAAGATTCCTGTTTCCTACAAAAGAACTTGACTGATGGGCTTTCTCCTCAAACTTATGGGCCGTAGAGTTGGGTTGGTTTTGTGTTTGTTTTTTTTTTTTTACTTTTTCATTAATTACTTTTCCAGAACAAGTCTGTGTAGGTGAGCTGAGGTGCTGTCTAGCTGATTTTTTTTTAATAGCCACTTGGCTCTAGGGGACACCAGGTGCTCAGATGTATGAGTAAAACTGTCCACACCCTTGTGAGTTACTGCTGGATTAACTTTGCCTGTGCATAGCATGTTGCAAAACTGCAGAAAAGTGCACTATAGCTGCCTGTGACAGAGGCTGAGCCAAGTGCATTTTACCTCACATTAACCTTCAGATAAGATGGTGTAATTTGCTGCAAGATGAATTACTGCTACTCTGTTGACAGACTAGTTATGCTGTGATGACTTGCTGATGTGTTTGAACTGTAAAATCAGACAAAGGGAAGTAGAAAATTGAGGCAAGGAAGGTAGGATTAGGCACTAGTCGAGAGCAAATAGTAGCTGGACAAAGAAAATATGGATTGGACATGAAAGCGTAATTTCAGAGGAGAAACCTGGCTGGCTGAGCAAAGAAAAATTAGTAGGAGGGTGGGGTGGTAGAGAACCAGTGTGCAGTGGGTGGAGGGAGAGACAGGGTGAGCAGCCAATAGAGCAGAACTGAAGTGGTCTGGACAAGAAAATGGGAGACCTAGGTGAGGAGCTGAAAATGTGGGGAACGGTGTGGAAAGACAGGATTACAGAGGATATGGCAAAGAACTTGAGCTAAACAGATGATGAGTCTCTCTACTCTGTTTTCCTTCTGTCCTCTAAAACCTGGGAGGGAACTGGGTTTCTTGTATGTAAATTTTACCCTGCAGTCCATGAGGATTTGTGAGACCCTGGCAAGATGTCATCCATCTGGCTTTAAGCTTCATTACATAGATCGTCCTCATCTGCTGTTAGCAGGTATCAAATGACAGCACTGTTGTGGTGCTGGGTGCATGTGATGCTTCGTGGTGGCATTTTTCTAGTTATTAAAAAAAAAAAAATCTAAGTTACAGGCAACAAGGTTATAGCGTTAAAAGCACTGTTGAGGCTTTGACGGCAGGAAATCCCCAAAGTAATCTGTTTAAAATTAGTAACCGTTAGTGTGTCATTTCCCATTTTTGCCACAAGATGTCACAATTCCTCCATGTATGGTCCTGTCCATCCCAGGCTCTAGCCTGGGCGCCTCCAGTTCAGCTCTTGTATTTAAATGTGAAAGGATATAAAATGAATTCGGCGGTTGGACCCATCCAAGGTAATCGCTAATTTCCATTCCCTTCCGATCTGCACATGATTTACTAACTGTGAATAATAAACACTTTTTTCCAGGTATGTGGTTCAAAAGAAGCAGGAAAGCAGCAGCAGCAAAAGGATGCAGTCAACGTGGTTGCTAGATTTTTAATCCAGAAGAAGGGAGCCTTCCTTCCAGCCCACCAGGAGATGGTGTAGGAGAGTGAAGTAGAAGGGAAGAGGAGGAAGATGTGGTCACTATTCCCAGCAGAAAACAGAGGTAAGTCTCAAAAAGATGTAAGAAGACAGATGCTGTGACAGACTGTGTTGTGGATTGAGACCTTGTCTCTGTGCTGACCTTTGGCTGTAGTAGGGCATTATATCCACTGTGGAATACCTCACTTGTAATTTATACCATCCTTTGCAAAAATGGCCTCAGATTACTGATGGTGGTAAATGGAACTTTGCAAAGGGGAAGTCTGTGGTTAATTTGTGCCATTTTTACTAAGAGCCGTGCTAAGAGAGGCATCTTCTGGTACAACTGCTGAAATGGTAAAAAAAAAAAATAGATGAAAGTCTTTATAGGAGACTTGTTCTCTCTTGCCTTCTTTTTCTTAGTATGACTGTTGGCACATTTCCTGTAGTAAAAGCAATATACAGATGAGGATAGCTTAAAAAGTCAAAGTTCAAAAAAAATGAAGTAGTAGTACTTTGTGATCACCGTTAAAAGATTCACTTCAAAGCCTGCTGGAAGACTTCTGTAATGGTTTTGATTAACATTTAAAAAATGAAAAAAAGAAGGTGGAATTAAGGCAATTTCCAGCCTATGGTTCAGACAAGTCCAATCCGTGGCAAAACCTCAATTTTACCAATATTTCAGGCATTCTCTGAAGGACATTCATATACATAATTTCACTTGGATGGATCAGCTTTGGATGCGATTCTTAAAGAACAGAGATGACATTTGGATGATTTGCTGGGCTGTAGTCAGGCATGTTGTCTCACCTCAGCAGGAAAAAAATCTTGGATTGAACTCCTTAGGAAACCAGTGAACTCATGGTGTTCTTACTCCTTTCATGTAATACTCAGTGGAATAAATGTCAATACCATCATGTTTGCTTGCAGGTTTCAAGAGTCAGTGTGTTAAGATACTTTTCTGGGGAGTGAATGTTTGTGCTTGTCTGATCTGAACGAAGCATCAAGAACTCTTGATTTCCTGTGATTACTTTAGCCACTCCCTTCATGGAAATTAAATATCTGGACAGAAGTGCTATGGAGATTCATTTCAGCTTGTTCTTACCATACATACACTTCCATACACTACACTCATATTTACTCTTAAACAATTATTGCACATAATCTTAATCCCATCTATTAAAGCTTTCAAAAAACCCATTTACTTTTCATCCTTTAATTGCAATCCACCCAATGGAGGTCAGGTGAGGGCTGGCACACATCCAAGGGCCCGGGGGTGGCCTACCAGAAGTAAAAAGGTGAGAAAGCAGTGACAGGACACTCAGGCCATTGGAAGAAAAGAGCTAGAATTGGATGGGGGCTCAACACAGCCCTTTGAAGGATTGGGGAAGGATGCAGAAGTATCACTTCCCTTGCGTAAGAAAACAAAGTCTGTGGTCTCTTCAATCTTGAAAGTTCCCCTATCTTTCCCCTCTGTCTTTGCCTGCACCCATGTAGTCCTTCCCACATCACTTCCCAGTCTCAAATGGTGGAGACTGAACAGAATACAGTACAGGATCTAGAGCATATCACTGGTGTCTTGATATATCAATGGTGAGAACATGATAAGAACTCACCATGTAGCATGTTGATCTGGAAACATCCCCTCTTTGATCCTAAGTCTTTGGATGGACCCCTAGGAGAACCAGACCTTGAAGAATCTATTCTGGGTTTTAAATAAGGGACTGGAGTAGTTAATGATGTGCCTAGTCCAGACAGGATGCATTGAGTAAAATTTATTGTTGCGCAAAGTTAAGTACCAAGCTAAGACAGTACTTGGATAAAATACTGTACAGCCTATTGAAAACCAGGGCAAAATAGTCAGGATATGGGCTTGAGCTGAACGTTTAGATGAAATTTTCTGCCATGCAGATGAAGTGTGTTCCCATGTCACTTTTAAAGAAGCAATTGTACTCCAGATACAGATTGTACTGCAGATATCTAGGAAGATGTCAGTGTAAATAGGCTTTCTTGAGAATCCCTGCATATGGAGATGCCCTAATGCTTTTTAAAATTTGACAATTAAGCACTTTATAGTCAAGTCCCATTGATTTTTGGTGGGAACAAGGATTCTAAAGATCCTGAGAAGGAGATCAGCAAGAAGAAAAGCAGAAGAAAACAAGTGCAAGTCAATTAGGTGTTCAAAATTGAAACCTAGTATGATGACTGATGTCAAAGAAATGGCTTGAAAGTAAATGAATTTTCTACATTATTTAATAACTTTGTGAAAAACAGCTGTGGGGAGTCTAAATGGATTCATAACATGTGTGATGTTGCAGCTCTTTACAAGCAGCTTGCAGCACTGCACAGCATATGTCTTGATGCAATATTTAAAAGGAGTGAGGTTCTGGAATGTGAGTACATAGAAGCATGCAGCTGCAATCAGTGACATCTCAAATACGGAATGACTTATGTATTTGTAAATACTAATGATTCCTTCCCAACTTCCAGTTAGCTCCTGCAGTTCATTGAGAATGTTGTTAAACTATTTTCCATAGTGGAGCGTCACATTTCATAAAATTAGATCATGAGAGACTTGGAGAGATTCAAACAAGCCAGATTTGTCACTGACACAGGCATTAAAATGGCATCCCACCAAGCAGAATGAAATTTTTAACAGCGGCAACACTTAGGGGAAAAAAAGGACTAATGGAATGTGTGCACTGGAAGAGAAGTGGACCTACAGTATTGCTGCTTCTCAGTTTATTGACAGTTTAACCCCATGCACAAGAGTTGCAGAACACTGCCTGTTCTGCAGCAGAACTGATCAAGGTTAGAAGTTTGTATTATGGAGGATTTTACAGAACTACAATGAGATGTTTTTCTTCAATACACAGGCAAGTGGGCTTGGTTTCTAAATGAGGTTTCTTGTGGTGTATAAGCACAGACCTTAGGCAGCATTTGATTTTTGTGGGGTGACTAAGTGGAGATCATCTTTTCACAGATGTGGTGGTACATATTAACAGTGGCTCAGCTGTCTGATTCTGATCAGTTCTGACAATTCATATAGGTCTTTTTGCGGAAATGTGGAAGTCTTACTCTTTCAAGTCATGAGAAGTGAGAATGGAAGAGGTTTCCTCTTTGGAAAGAACTATATAGGCAGCTACCTTGGTTAACTCTGCAATGCAGGAAAAAAAATCTGTAGCAAAACTTACCCTGGCTGATTAGAGTGTGTCTGCTTCATGCCTAAGCACTTTTAATCCTGGGCTATTTTTTTTCTGATTTTTACCTGAAAACAGAGAGTCTGACTGCGATGTAGGGACAGACCTTTGCAGATTCACGTGGAGGATTAGTGCAGGATTAGTGATGTTATTTCCCAAATGCAGGTTAGAGTTTTCTGAGTTACTAAATGTAGAGACTGTCAGAAAATAGACAGTTGTCTTCTTCAGCCATCCTCTTTTGTTGTGTTGGTAACACATGCAGCCATTTGAGTGCAAACACTTGACCTTTCCTTCCCACCAGTCTGTGCAATGGGATTTATTCCAGAATGCTTGGATTTTCACGGGTGTTCCCTCCACAAAAGGGAGCAGCTGATCAGTCATGCCAGCAACCACTGAAGTAAGCCTGACCAGGCCTGCAATGCACATCCAACATCAGCAGCTGCATATCTGCATTTTGGAAGAGCTTCTGTACGTCCATGTCCAGTGTCTAAAGGCTCGCAGTTCCTGCTTGCAGTGCTGTGGAACAGGCAGGTTACTTTGAGTCACAGTACAAAATGCCAGCTTCCTTCTTTTGCCATGTCACCAGGGAGATTGCACACTGAATTTGCTGATCTGGATTTTGCAGTGTTGCATGCATGGCAAATTCCTAGTCTTTACTTGTATGTTTGGATATGCTTTCAGTGGGCAGTGACAAGAAGGAGCATAACATGAAAATGATGATAGTCATAATCTTAGCACAAACTGAGGAGAGCTGTGCAGGAAACAATGTGAGAAAGGCATTAATATCCTGTAAGTTTATACCAAAGCCTGTAGGAGGGTCACTTTCCTCTTAACTGTGGAGGGCTAGGCCAGAGTTCTGGTCCCAGAATGAGACCCCAGAATTTGTGGGATGCTGTGGGCTGAGTCCTGCAATGTCAGAGACAGCAGTTCTCATTTTAAGTGGAAAGTGACTGCAATCTTGCAAACTACCTTCCACCTCCAGACTCTGATGCTCTGAAGATTTGGCTGAATTTCTGGCAAGAGGTGCTCTGTTGCAGTACTAGCTTGTAGGGCATTCAAAGAGACAGAAAGACCTTAAAAGTAATCTTGATTCTACTCTAAGGGCTTGCTTGCCAGTATGGAAGGAGACTTTCTCCATACTACCTTCCAAGGTGGTCTCTCAGGAGGGGATGGTTCAGTCCTGTGGTACAGAATCCCTGCATACAGAATTCATGCCATAGTCCTGAAACATGGGATTGGCCTCTTCAGTCTGGGGAGGGACTGGCACATCGTCTCTTGAGGTGTTTTTAGCCCAGTGAACCCCTTGCCTTTACCTAAAGATGGAATTTGAAGCTCAGAGTCTCTTCCATTGTACTAGACAAGAGCAAAGTCCTTCTATCCTACCATTCATTCTCTCTCTGGTCACACTGCTGAGCTGGTAGCATTTGGTAGTTGCAGGTCTGCAACTCTGATCAAAAAGAGAAACTCTATCCTGTACTTGGGCAGTTAATATAAGAGGCAACAGGGCCCTGACAAGTCATCTTGCTCAGAGGTTTGAAGTCCTTTTTTTTCATGTTATCTAAGCACTGACCTAAAACACGGGCAACTTCTTTGACAATCAAACACCGCATATGGTTCACTGGGCTGCCGGAGCAGTGGCTGTCTCATGTCTCATACCAGTCAAAAACAAAAATATTTCTCTAGATCATATTGAATAAGTTTCTTTTTTCAAGATGATAGTGGTTCCCAGAATAGGCACTACATGGAAAATACCAAAATACCTTCAGCTCAGTTTCACCATACAAATTTTCCACAGCTTAATTTACCTTCTAT